CCCCCCCCCCTTCCACACAGCCCCCACACACCAGTGTTCTTCCACCAAGTTTACCATTTAACTCTCATTTACACTAGCAACACCACCTTTATAACAATAAGAATAAACAATTTAAAATAAAAATAATAAATTTAGAATAATAATAATAATAATAATAATAATAATACATATGTTTAGAGAAACGAACTGCAGCGTAGCTCTCAACTTTGAGGCGCATGTATTTTTCCATAAAAATAATATGGAAGTTCAAGCAATTCTACAGAGCTTAGGTCAAGGATTTTATCGCACTCATTTTGCAGTTTAATAATATTATTCTACACACTACATTATACATGGATTCTCAAAGAATGCACGAAAGCAGCGATTGTTTTAAAACGCAATACATGTACATCACTAATTTTAAAACGTATTTAGATTATAGTAACATCATTTTTTTCACATTTAAATAATACTTCACGATTCGACACGTTATTCTAATGAATTGAAGAAATCGTTGTCCGACATATCTTTTACCTACGTCACTGAATAAAAATATTATAAAAAAAATTAAACCATACTTTTTAAAATAACGATGTAATTCTTGCATGCCTCCTGTTGTTCACGAATTTGTCAACGAATGGACGTGTGAGAAAAAAGTAAGTGAGCTCGAAAATGGTCGTAGCGCTGAGCCCGACGAACAAACTTAGTAGACCTCCAAAAGATGCTGAAAAAAAAAAAAAAAATATGTCATTAAAAAATGCAGCAAGTATTAAATGTTTGTTGTGCTGTACCAATTATATTGTTCCAGGTAAAATTTACGTCACGACGATATCTCGTAGTAACCAAATCCTCATAAAATACATTGATGATACTGAAATTCCCAAAGTTACCGGCGTCTCTGAAATAATGACTACTTGCAATCACATAATTTCCCAAGTTAAAGCAAAAAAAAGTTCTATTTTCTTAATCTTGTCTACTAACTCCGATAATCTGGAAGAAGTGTAGGCTTTTTGCAAGTGAGCTTGAGTACTGTACAGTGGGTATGAATAAATCGTACAATCTGGCAAGCAGCCACAAGGTCTGGTTGTTATATCTATATCTGCCTCTAACAAATCATCACTATACATGTCCAAAGTTGGCCAAGACATGTCGTAAAGGCCTAAAAAAAACGCTATCCTTTATTTTCGATTCAAGTAATAACGACACAATTTTCAACGTACGTTGAATTTTCTTCATGCATATCAAATCTCGCAGGTTGCACACTCTGGTATCTAAAACAATAGTTTGCACGTGCCTATATAAAAATGTAAAAAACCATATCCTGTAAGCTATAAGTATTAAACTCGTACGATTTTGTGGTACATAAAAAGGCGCACAACCACATTCGTTAACAACAACCGACGTCCTACAATTGGTCAAACAGTTAACGTAACTGTACTTGAGCATGGTGTAATTTCTCATTAGGAGTTGTAGTGGTTCGGGCACTTGGTCGTTCTCGGATAAGCATTGTCGGCTTCGTAGAGGGAGGCTTTTCGTATTTCGAGTCGAATAAAATTCTTGAGGCTTGACGTTCATGAAATTTTGGACTCCGAGGCTAATTAATTTATACTGGCAGCTGCGGTATGGGTGATCGTAGGGATAGTGTATCAGTGTCTGTAATTAATGGTGCTATGGGTAAAGATTTTTCACTAAAATTACAAGAGCATTCCAGACAGGTTTGAATTAATGTTTTCATCATTTGATTCTAATGAGTTGCAAATGCTTGATGGCAATGTTTATAAGCCAACTGTCAATGCATATGGAATTATTTACCGAACTTGGTATTTTTTTATATTTTTACGTTAAAAAACATGCTAAAGTTTACGAATACTCACCAATAATTTTTTGATACCATACCAACTTTATAAATACTTAGAAATACAATTTTTTTTCTAAGAATCTGTGTTTTTTATTACTATTTTTTTGTCGTATAGCTACTCACTTAACAAACCATTTCATGAAAGTATTTTAATACTTAATCCAAAAATAAAGACGTAGATTTTTCTAGTTTATTAAAAAAAAGCAGAGAACGGTGGCACCAGTAATCGATCTGAGTTCCAAATCACCTCTTAGCAAGCTAATATTTATATTGTGACAGGGATATAATACAATTGCTAAAACAATGGTTTCATAACCAACGCGTTAACTTGATTGCTTCAGAACTAAATTCGGTTAATGGTATTATTGCCACATTTTTTCAACCAAGTTGAACTTTAGAATTAACTGCAAGTTTTCGTTACTAAGATGTTGTGTATTTTAAGAAATACGTATACACGTAAGGTGAATGTCTCAATTATCGATCATTTTTCTTTATATCTTAATTTAATTTTTTTCAAACATTAATCAATTGACATTCGGGCCCCAAAAAATAATTTTTTCGATACAAATCCACCTTGTTATTCGTTGAAAATATATCTGAGTCCTGCAAAAAGAAAAATAAAATGATCGATAATTGGGACATTTCGTCTATTTGAGAGAGCGATAACTGGGACATTCACCTTATAATTATGAGGTAGTGGTAAAAACGCCATGCGTGTGATAATGTAAAAACGTCATTCAATTGGCTAACACTATAAAAATTTTGTTGGTAGATTTTTCGTAAACAATTTTTCATTAAATTTCAAAAATGCTTTACTGTCATCCCAATATTATAGAAAAATCTGAAATGCTCTTGTGGCGAGTATATTAACAAAGTTCAAACAAAATTAATATTAATAAAAAAAAAAAAAAAATTACTTTCACTCCGTACGAAGGGTACAATGCTACATGATAATCTTCAGGTTCTGGATGTACTTCAAAACTCAATGCTGTTTGGTAACCACAAGCGCTAACTTGTTGGGGTCTCCTTGAATTTTTTTAAAGTTTAACAATGCAAAAAAATTGAATGTAGAACAACTAATTGAAAAAAAAAAAAAAAAAAAAACTACTTTACTCACCTTCCATTATTTATTTTAGTATTATTATGAAAGAAATTAAAACTGCAACAAATACCATCACGTACGTATACTTCTTCAAATATATCTTCACATGATTCGGTTTCTCCCTTCCATTTGCAGTTTCTCAATAGAACCGAGCAATCTTGTTTCACCTTGAAAGTAAACACCTATTATAATCTACCGAGTATAAGAATAATTGTTAAACTAATATGGTTTTAGTAAAGGAACAATAAACATCTACGGATAATAAAATAGGTCGTCGACGCCACCACCGCTATCGAGTCAGTATCCCCCCCCCCCCCCCTTCCACACAGCCCCCACACACCAGTGTTCTTCCACCAAGTTTACCATTTAACTCTCATTTACACTAGCAACACCACCTTTATAACAATAAGAATAAACAATTGCTTTCATAAACGCAATTATTCGTATAGCTATTCAAGGTGTAGAAACCCTGACGCAATTCACATTAAAAACAAGTTATCCAATGAAAATGAGAACATAGTATGCACCAAATTTTATTTTGATATCAATTTTTTTTTTTTGGTTTATGTTACATATACGGTGTTGTTGGAAACTTAAAAATAATTATTGATGCATTCAATTGTGCTTGTGCTTGCACCATGTGCGAACTATATTTTTTCTGCCGAGGGAACACCCGACCCTCAAAAACGTCTGAGGTAGGAAATAGTAGTTTTCGTATCATGACCGCAAAGTAAACAATTCTCCCATAAAAGCATAGGTTTTTGTATGTTTGTGCCCAAGGTACGAATGTTATTTTTCTTTCTGAGAGAAGAAAGTCGTACTTTGTGCCCGTTGGCTTACATTGCGCCCTTGAAAAAAAAAAAAACGTCATTCACAATTTGGACTCAAACATACAAAAACCCCATCCTTTATAGTATTATCGAATTAGTTTTTTGACCCCAAAAATTCTGAATAGCTCGAAAAAAATGAGTTAGTAGTTCCAATGCATGGTAAAAAAATTAACGCAGAATTTAACAAGTAGAAATATCTAAGCCCCAAGAAAAGTTTAAAAAATGGTCAAAATAAATTTTTCGGGTCTAGAAGAAAACCGAAATGTCACTCATAAAAAGTGATAGATCTTTTCTATAGGTTTTTACTGCGGTTCGCGAAAAATTTTAAACCGATCTAGCTGAAATTTGGTGTGTATATTAAGGACTGAAATATCTACTTTAGGTCTAAATTTCAGCTCTCAATATTGTATAGAGCACGAGTTGTTGAGTTTCGAAAAAATGGCTCAAAATGGCAGTTTTTTGTGATTTGTTTTAAAAAATTGAAAAACAGTTAGCGAAAATATGTCGTTTATCTTAAACGTTTCAAATATTTTATCATTAATTATTAACAAATAAAAGTATATACATATAATTCGTGACAAACACATAAGTATTTCGTCCCCAACTACTTACCAATTTCATGATTTGAGGGGCCGTGTAATTATTGGCATGAAAAACGTTTTGAAGAGCAGTAAGATTGAAGTAAACATCGTAGCCAAAGATACCAGGGTCCACCATCTCTGCCAACAACTGCATTTCTTTGAGCACGTAGTCTCGTGAAAATCCTTGCAAGTACTTTCTAAAATTAAATTCTCGGTACGTTATTTTTTGCATCATTTCAAAAGTGCAGCCGTTTAAAAAAACGTCAAGTTGTGATAATTTTATGGTCATTCGAGTGAAAAATGTTTACAATTCGTTGACGAATTTGCGAGCCTTTTTCAGGGAAACTAGGTTGTGGTTGCAAACGGTGACTGCGGGAAAGAGATGATTCCAAACTCCGTGGTGCGTGGTTTGGATGACCGCCAAAGTCGAATGAATCGAATTGTAGGTCCAAGCTTTGGTCATAGCGATTAGCGAGCAGCAAAGAAGAAATACCACTATTGTTCCCCATATGTACCTTTTAAAAAATAAAACAAGAGTCGTGCAACATGGGTGAGTTTCTTTTTTTAAGCTTTGATTCTAACGACAGCGAAGGTATATACAATAAACGAATGAGTCTTATGGCATACTGTCGAAAAGTTTATTCGTGATTCCGAAAAAATATATACAACGTTTCGGTTGTACATTGACAAACCTTTTCGAGTAAAAAATAAGCAACGTCCAATATTCACTCAAAATAAATGTAAGAAAAGTTATATTTTGTCAACTTAACAATAAAAAACTAGTTCTGCTTACTATACAACGTGTGGCTCTCTTATTTATGTCAGATCGATTGCTCGAAATCCTTGTTGCCAAAATATAACTTTTCTTATATTTATTTTGAGTGAATATTGGACGTTGCTTATTTTTTACTCGAAAAGGGTTGTCAGTATACAATCGAAACGTTGTACACATTTTTTCGGAATCATGAATAAAAGTATACCATAAAATTCATTTGCTTATTATGGGTGAGTATCATTGTAAGAGGATTTTTTTTTTAATAAAAATAAAACTACGCAAAAAGCATGCAATTTAAAAAAATAACTGTACCTTTCAAATTTAGGTAGCTTGGATTTCATGACATATTTGTAGCCATGTAAGCTTGTCATTAAGAAAAATTCCCTGATTTGGGTTTTAAATACATCCGATAATTTGGGTTTCTTTTTCCTCTTCATCACTTTTGGCTTCAATTTTAAAACGTTGCACATATTTTTTGCGGAGCAACGTATTAAAATTCCGGAGAAACGACAGACGCAAGATTAACGTCACTATAATATATGTGAACTGTTTCTTTCTAATTCAACTAAAGAACGGAGCAACATCGCACTCGACAAATCCACGCTTTCATGACAAACACTTTGTTCTTGCGTGTCTCACTCCCCTCCAGCTATGTAGTTTCACTAGCCAATACTGCTGTTTCACTCATATTTGTGCAAGTCTTATCTCAAACCAAACTACTTACATTCAATTATGGAGCCCAAAAACAAAAGTTATGCGATCGCTCATCCTATATGTGCTTTTAGGACATTGTAAATATTGAACAAATTGATTGTGATTGATGGCGTCGATCGTGAAGAAAAAGATATGCGGCGTAATACTGGCATCGACTACGCATCAATTATGAAAATTCAACAGTCATCCAGAAAACTCATTTTCGGGAGAGAAAAAAGAAAGTAGCCCTTTTTCTTGCGTGTAGATGAAAGAACAATGAAATGTAATTTTGATCGAGATGGTAATAAAGTAAGTATCTGAAAATTATGTGATTATCTTGAAGATATACAGTTCTGAGATAAGAATAGCACGATGAAAGCAGCTAACTGCCCAACAAAAAACTTTCCAATGAACGCCTGCAAATTGAAACGTGATTTGATTCGAGGATATGTTTTGAAATCTTGATGCAAAAATATTAAAAGGTCACGATCTTTTTTTTGGAACTTACGTCCAAACGACCGTATCAGAATAGTTGAACTTAGTGGTAGGGAAAATCCTCGTGAAAAATTTTTTTTTTCAATGACTATATGATACACATACATACTAATGCAGTTATAATGTTTTATTGATGTATAATAAAAGGAAAAAATAATAATAAATAATTTTTTAATAGTAAAACACAAAAAATCAAGCAATAATAAGAATTCACTTGTTTAAAGTCTGACTTATAATAAACCTACCTACAACCTAAAAGTTAAAAAAAAAAAAAAAAATGGCTATTAGCGTTTTTGCAATAAATATGGGTTCTTTTATAGATGTCAAAATTCATCAAGATCCAATGTTGCATAATTGGTGAGACCAAAAAATAGATAAATTTACACAAGGAAAAGACAGTGCTCTTAAAAATAAGACTAATGCATTAGTTGTTAGTTCAAAAATGCAAAACACGTTATAATGTTATGTATGCGAGTAATATTTTCTTGTTTTAAGTCTTAAAAATTTTACAACAGCAGGGCAGACGTAGTCCAATCTTCACCCATCGATTATTGCGTAAACTTACCTTTTCATGACTTGGACATTTCCTGAATCTCGGCATTCGCTGTGTGCAAGTTCAGTTCTGTCCCCATTTTGCCGGATTTTTCACGTTAAGTTAAATGGACAATTCCATAAGCCTACATATGTACCTAAAAGTAACAAGTGGGACTAGCCCTCCCCTCCACCCATTTGCACACAGCGACTAGGAAAAATGTTGTGGTGTTCAGCTACAATAATGGTCCCTCGTGACGCAAATTAGCATTGGTGGCGATGTGGCGCTTCTGGGACGAAAACTACCATAATATAAAAAAAGTACTATATTTTTGTTATTTTATGATCATTAGTATCCTACATTAGTACATTATTTGAAAGAACAAACTATTTTAATTGTTAATTATAATTATGGACTTACCATAATTCCAGTTTATTTGGAGATCATCCCTTTGTGCTATCGATTCTTGGATCGAAGCAACAAATTCGAAAATTCAATGGTTTCTTATTGCTTAAAATTTATCCCTGCCATGACTGGACCCAATGGTTGGGGAATAAAAATTTCCCGTAGGGACGTGACATTGGCGGCAAAGTTTGGAATTATCTACTACCCGAAAATCGACTTCAATGTGAACATATACGCTATATATATGTATAGGTTTACTCTCATTCTCATAATGCGGACGAAGTTGGCCCAAAGTCCCCCTCTTGCTGAAATCCCAAATTGCCATCATTCTTAATTATTGTATAGGCACGACTGACACTCAGGAGCCAGAGCAGAAAGTGTAAGTACCCTTAGAACTTATCGTTTTTGTGTAAAAAAAGTTTTGGTAAAAAAAAAATTGCGATCGCAGACCTCAGCGTCAGGGGTCAAGGGGTGTATGTATGTATGTATGTATGTATGTATGTATGTATGGGCGTAATAAAGTTTGTTGACTAACTCATGCAGTTTTTGTCAGATTGGGATGAAATTTGACAAATAGCTTAGTCTTTTATGTCTAATATGATGGTTTGAAATCCGTAAGGTTTCCTCTTTTAGAAAAAAATGGCAGTTGTTTTAAGATGGCACTTTCAGTGGAAAAAAAAACAGCTTTTTGGCTATAACTTTATTAAGTGATATTTTAGAGGTTTGCTGTGAAAAAAAAATTAAAGTTGTAGATATAATTGAAATACACCTTTCTCGTTTTCAACATTTTCGTCCAGGATGCAACCCAAACGTTCTAGGAGCCAAAAAATGCTTAAAAATGGCAAAAAAGTAGTTTCCTCCTAAACAACTTATTTATTTTGTATTTTGGATTATGTAATTTTCAGTAAAAGTTGTAGATCTCGTCGAAATACAACTTTTTTTACAACTAAAATTTATGTCTGTAAGCTAAAATTAACGCGATAAATTGCAAAAAATGATAATAAAAAATGATATAAATTTTTTACCAACCCTGCACCGAACAGTACCGACTTTCCACAGAGTGTGGTAATAACAGTTTTATACTCCCTCGTATCAGTCGTGCCTTAAATACAAAAACGCAGATTCTTCAAGAATTTAACTGCTTGTTTCATGCATAAAAATTATTTTTAAAAAACGTTTGTCAAAGTGGTGGCAAGTATTTTCACTTAAGAGAGGTCCACTCACTTTAAAGTCGATTTTTGGGTAGTAGATAAGTTCCAATTCTGCCGTCAATGCCACATTTGTATGACAACGTTGTATTTTCTATCCATTAGGCCTAGTTGCGGCAAGTATTAATTTTGTGCGTTTGGCAATTTTTATATACCGATGTAACTCGTCATAGCAAAGCTACATCACAAAAGTACTGTGGATCTTAATAAATCACAAAGTTCCTCAGCTATTACAATAATGGGCGGCAGGTATTTATTTTTTGCTTCATCTGTACTTTTGCCATTTTCAGGACTAACTAAAAAAATTTTCGTCTGCTACACAACATATACGAGCGCGTCGAGCCATAATTAAGCGGTGTATGAATACATACGTAAACCGAAACGTAAATAAACAGTTTTTCAGTGGTGGACTTAATAATTATTACGAGATGCCGAAGTGCTCAGCCAGAGGATGCAGAAATTCATCAATGCACGGGGTAAAAATGAATAAATTTCCAAAAAAAGAAGATAGCAGGGAACAGTGGCGAATAAATTGTGAAACTCTATGTGGAATGACTGATTGGCATCCTCCAGAAACGTCTGCTTTGTGCGAAGTAAACAAATTAAGAAATTTTTTAACTATATATTTTCAAACTTTACAGAAAATTTGGATGTAGAAAATGAGTCAATTTGATTTTTTTAGTATCACTTTACACCAGAAATGTGGGAAAAGCCAAGAGTAGATGGAACCAAAAAGTTAAGGATCAATGCAATACCAACTGTATTTGGAGATGGTGTTCATCAAGTGAAAGCCAGGGTTCCTAAGAGTTAGTGATGAAGAAACAATGAAAAATGTAGTAGTTGCGATGTAGTACGTATCCCATGATCTAATTATGATTCCTATTTTTTAGAATCGCAATTCCAACCAAAAATCCAGGAGTTGATAGAGCATAGTTATGGTCGTTTCAACCATTATGATCTGAATGAAAATAATACTGATGTTTCCCCCTTGAAAGTCAATTTGCAAAGAACTAATTGTTACGTGCCAGTACAATCGTCCAAGAACAAGTCTGCTGATCCTGGTTGTGCACATCCCAAAGGTGAATGAGGTCCTGGTTTTTCCAAACCAATTACTCAAGTATTCAAAAAGAATGTCAAACTTGAAAAAAACTTTAAATGTTGATATTTCATGTATCTTTTTGAAAACAACTCCAAACCAAACTTTATTCTATGAGTGAAAATAAAGTACAAAATGATTTGATTACAGATGAACCCATGCATAAAGATGATGTACAACAGTCTTCTACGAAACACTCCAAAAACAGTAATACCTCTAGTCCTAATAATAAGAATATTAAAGAAGAAGAAAATGAGAAAACGAACTGTGAAAACTTAAATAAAAAAGTTGACTTTGAAAAAATGTACCATCAACTGCTTAAAAAGTTCAACAAGAGAGAGAAATTGACTGTTATAATGAAAGAGAGGCACAAAAGGCTTAATGATCAATTACGTTACAAAATAAAAAAACTGGAAGACAAAATTAAGGCCATGGAATGTGAAGGTAATGAACCAGCAGTATAAAGTGGGAGGTATTAGAAAATCTAAAAGCGCGGGTGTAACGATACCTCAGAGTTAAGGCCGTCCAGTTAAAATTGGCCTGTAGTATTTCATGGTATAAGGAATTGACAAGGAAAAACCATCATGTTCCATGTCCAAGAGTTTTAAGACTTAAACTTGAAAATCGGAAATTTTTTAATTGTTCAGATTAAAAGTTTTACATTTTTCAAAAAGAATATATCAAAGACTGTTTGCTAACTGTAGATAAAATTTTTATTACACTTAAATTGTGTTTTGTTAATTCAACCGCCTCCTTGATGAGTAATGTCACATTACCTGCCCATGACAATAAAAAATCGGCTACACTCGTGCATTGGTATTCATAATAGCAGGTATTTCATCACATGTAGATGGAAGCCAACTGTTAACTATGTTTGCACTAGTATTGAGACTAATAGCGAGATTAAACAAGCCAATTATTTAAATTATATTAAAAAAGCTCTTGATGTAGGTCTGTACATGCATGGGGTTGTTTCAGACATGGGTTCCACGTGAATGACGTTTTTAACGTTTCTGCACATACTCTCGATTCCTTACAATCAAATTCAACATCCAACTGACAGCAATAAGTACTTAGTTGTTTATATTTCTTTCTTTCACGATGCTTGCCATGTTAAAAAATTGAAGGAAAGCATACTAAATGATACAGATATAACTATTCCTGATGAATATGTAAAAATATATAACTTACCTACAAGTAAGCTATAAGGCTCGCTCCGTATATATATTAATGATTTATTTGAAATTCAAAAGAATTCAACTTCCAAAAAATGAGAGTTGAAAGTGGATTGCATGGTTTGAGTCATAAAGTTAGTATTTTGCAAATTCTGGGAGAATAGAAAACAAACCCAAGCATTTAGCTGGTGCATGGTTGGTAGAACTATTTTCCAAATGGTTTAAAATTATGAGTGAAAGAAATTTTTATTTTGCCTTGAGTAAATGTAATGAACAAAAATTTACAAAGACAATTATGTTTTTAGAAGAGATTATCGATTTGATAACTCATTTGATTTTCGGTAAAAAAGATAATTAGGGGCCATTTTAGAAAAAAAAGGAATCGTTATAACGAGGCCTTCTTTTACGGAATTGTCGACTTTCCTTATGAATAACATAAATTATCATTTTATTTTTGGGGGTCGGTTTACGCACGACTGCTTAAAAAATACATTTTCTGTACTGCTCTATAATGATTAATTGTGTTTCAACTGCGCTCCAATTAAAAAACAATATGAAATTAACAATAGTTTCGCAATCCATGCGACAAATTTGTCATTACAGTCATGACGAAGATAATCGCCGATTCCTTCCAGATTTTCTGAAAATGGTAAAAAAATTTTTAAAACTTACACCGATACACAAAGTGACAGTTATAAAAGCCTTTGATCTGATCGTTCAATATAGATTCACTTACCTTTGTCGTTAAAAAATTTACATACTTTTTTTTATGCATCAAAGAATGTTTGATTTTTTTTCATAATTTTTTATATTTTTTTATGCAGTAAATTTTCAAATTTTATATTTCACAACAATAAGAAATCCTTAA